ACTGTCCCGCTCCGACGAGGGCTCGTCGATGCTCGTTCCTCCATTATTCTTTTGAATGTCTGGCTGAATTGGATTCAGCCAGTATCTATGACTTTGTCCGCTTCATCAGAGCTACGAAGTGGTTCCATTTCTTAGGTAAGAGGAGGGACATATGGAGTATCTAATATGGCATCACACCGGGCACATGGTGGCCTAAGTGTGCCCTTTCACTGAGGGCAGCGGAGATAAACTAACCTAACCTAACCTACATATATACAGTGATCCAAACAATTATTTGTGCAGTGATTATTTTTACAATATTCGCAAATTTTTTCATAACAATCTTTTTCGTTAATTTTTCACGAAAATATAGTTCAAATTCTAACCAAGCTCATGTAAATAAAGTTTTCAGACTTTTTACAAAACTTAAAAAATTTCAAAAAATATTCATCAAAATTCCAAAATTTCAATTCCGAATTTTTGGAAAAATTTAAAATAGGTATACTGAAATTGAATGGCCTACGAAATAAGATACTAAAATTTTTTGTAAAAATAGTCTGATGAAATTTTTTTTTTTATTTTTTTAATTTTAAAACTATATTTATATAATATGATTTTTACTTGAATATGAACTACACTTTCAAGAAAAATTTACGAAGACAGGTTATCATGAAAAACATTTGCAAATATTTAAAAATAATTATTTTGACCATCTATACAATTAAAAAACTTTTTAACAAAATTTTAAAATATGAATTCAGAATTTTGAGAAAAATTTTAAGGAAATCATTGTGATGGGCAGCGGAGCTCACTGAACTTAGGTCGTCAGGCATACGACTATTGAATAGAGTATTTTGCAAAGAGGACTAAAAGGACTAAAGACTTTACGAGTTCAAAATATAAAAGCTTAAATGGCGCTCATGGCTAGCCTTCTGCGAAGATGACGAGGGGAGCCATGAATCATCCAGACTCCTACTTGCATCCCTACTCTCTTGCGATATTTTAGGTACGAGATGGGTAAGTTGACAACGATTAGGCTTCTCCTCCATGCCAATTTCTCATGCAAACCTGCCTGAGAAGAAACTTCCGATTTCAGCACAAAATACCGTGGTATCACCTTTCTCGACTTACTCTATAAGAGTCGTCTTCCTTGCCGCAATAAACTCTATGAATGAGTGATACCAGACGGCATTATACTTGCCCAGTTTCAAAAGATTCTGTATGTATCGTGTCATGGGTTGACGCTAGTTGCGCTATCCCCAGGGCTTGGAGAGTTGTCTTGTTGACGTTCATACCAGCTAGCCTATTTTCGTCTTTGCTGAAAACCCAGGAAACACTTAATGATCTGCACAATAGGAACATGATTCCTCGCGACTGACTCAAAGGTAGGTCGGCCGGGATTGTCCTTCACATGATCGCAAATATGGTACAGAAAGAAAAGCGCCGTTCTCGACGTCGATATGCTTTTAATGATGTCTTTTCTGTGCAGTTGTCAGATCCTCAATCAAGGAAATCGATCCTATTAAGGTCATATATGAATAGGTCAGCGCTTTCATCTAGCGTAGAGCAGAAAAGTTAGAAGAGCTAAAGATGAGAGTGTACCTGGGTATTCCCTATGAAGATAAAGTGGCGCTTTTAGTGGGAAGTACATTACTGGATACCCTTTATTATCTCATCCAAGTGTACGTGAACGTATTAAGTAAGTGGACTTCGAGCAGTGGACTTGCTGAATATCTTAGTAATATGGAGCTTGTCTTGTTCACAAGAAGATACTTTCCGACAGAGCCAAGTGCTTGGGTTTACGTCTAGGCAGGAAGTCGTCGTGGAAGCCTAACATTGAGGAAAGAGTGAACAAGGCACCAATTGATTACCGTTTTTGGGCGTCCTCGACTGGTGGACTGTCTTGGAGAAAAGTACGCTAGTCAGTACGACCATATCCATTCTGGCGGCAGTTGATATCGTAAATAAAGCTGTTGCGCTGCTGCAGTCGATTGACTTCAGATTTGCGAGACATCGAAAAGGAAGACAAATATCAACTCTCCCTTGCACACGGCATTTCTTTCGGCTCCTCCAAGTATTCTGGTTTGATTTATATAGTTGCCAGCCTCAGTTTTATTTCAGAAAATTCTGCGATGGTTGAGTTGGTCAAGCAAGACACCCTTAATGAGTGCTTTTGACTACATATGGTCCCGTATGAGTTCAACGAACGCTGAGCGAAAACCAGGACATGTGCTTCTGCAAGGTCTATCTGGCAGAGGGCCTTTTGGGATCCTTTTAGGCTCACGAAGCCGACAAACATATAAAAAATATAGCGCTAACTATTTCTAGTGTACCAGAGCTGCAGCCAAGTTGCCAATGAGATGATCACCTCCAAACATTTCAGGGAGTATTTTCCACTTCAACTTGTGACAGTGAGAACTATGGTAATACTGCTGCATACCAGGGCACTTCGGTATTGGCAAGTCACCTATTTTTGTGGAGACTGAAACTGTTTTGTAGACACTGTTGGTAGCCTTCGAACTTTATGATTACTGAGTTGGTAAAATCTAAACTTAGGAATTTTTGTGAAGAGATAGAAATGGCTCGTTCACTGAGAAGATAGAAAAAGATAAATTTAATCAAAATGTTTTCAAGGAAATTAAGAGCTTGCCGTGCTTTGAACGAATTCTACTGCTATCAATCTTTCTCTATTTTTTCCAGACTCTAATTACCTGAAAGGAATGTCACAAATGCGAGCTAATCAATTTCTAAATCTTCTTTATACATATAATATTGATTGGCCTGTTGCTAAAAGTAAATAACCTTGGCATTAGTCGTCATTTATATTAAGCAATCACAACATTTTACTCGGTCGTCTTAGCCTTCACAAAAATTGAAGAAAATTACGCGAAGTGAGAAAATAAGCAAAAAATGTAACCATTCGAAGAGTTGCTGTAATGGAAGCAACTTCATAGCTTAATGTTGCAACATTTAACAGGGATACACAGAATACCAACTCGCTACTTAGAATAATGTAATTTGCAAATTGAATCGTGTCTGCAAGTCTCGACTTCCCATTCGCTCTACGACTGCGACGGTCTGACGCCAACGCAAACTTCTATAGTGGAGCGTGTCAGTCGGCACCTTTCAATGTTTACTTTGATGACAGTTGCTGTTATTTTTGCCCTTAGATTATTTTAAATTTTCTGTTTATTTTGCTATGCTAATATTGTCTTCTTATTTGCTTATTTGCATTTTGGTTGAACGGCTCTGCTCAGCCTTTGAAACTGGTGCAGTGAGGCTGTGTGCTTTACTAAAGGAGTTTTGCAATTACTGTTCGTTAGAAATCATTTCCTCTTTTTGAATAATTCCATTGCCAACTGTTAACATTTTTCAATTGGAATTGTGTAATTTATCAACTAATGAAGTTCGTGTCTTCAGTTTTTACTTTCGAACTTCAATAATGCAAGCAAACTAATGACATACGGCAAGGTAATGGAATTCTGTGGAAGGTAAGTAGTGCGTTTGGAAAAGTTGGTAAATATTTTAGGCTATGCTATTGCTATTCTTAAACAGATTAAGCTATATATATGAAAAAATTGTAACATTATGTATATTAAAAAAAAATATTTAATATGGAGCAACAGAATCCAAATCAACAACTTTTAGAATCTTTGTCTGTCTGTATGTTTGTACGCGTATCACTCGAAAACTAATGCATGGAACCGTATGTAGTTTTCACCAATGTATTTCTTGAGGTCCAACTTAATATATAGAAAAAAAAGTTTTAAGAGTTGCCACCTGTTTAAAAATTGCATTTTGGGTAAATCGATAAGATAAATTAAGTATTGCAATATGGCTGTTAAACGAAAGAGGTCTAAAAATGCTTACAGCCGAAAAAAAATTTTGTGGAATATTGCCATATGTTTGAAAATTGTAATTTAATTAAATTATTAAGATAAATCAAATATTGCAATTTGAGTATAAAACTAAGTGAGGTTTATGAAAGTTTATTGCCGAAGATTTTTTGAGGGGGTTGCCACCTGTTTGAAAAATGTTTTTCATTTAAATTGATTAAATAGATGAAATATTATGATACTGGTGTTAAACTTCATATGATGGAAGATGACCAGCAATAAATTCGATCTACGCTTGGGAAGGTTATAATGATTCGAAATTTTAAAGGTAGTTGGAGCAATTCGCGCGAAAGACTAACCGACGTCTAAGACTCCAATAGGCTCTTTCCTACCGTTTCTTTTTACTGAATGAAAAATTCATAGAAGTTGCCAATGAAAGATGGCGAATGGAACCGTCCAGAGCATCCCATATTTTCTCTGCTATTTTCCGGCTCTATCAAAATCGATATTCAGCGAACTTGATGACCTCAAAGCGATGAGTGCCAGAAGCGTTTGCACCTTTTTCTAAGCACCAAGTGGTTAAGAGGGGAACGGAGATAAATAAAAAACCTCATGCGGTATCACAAAAGACACTGAGTCTAAGTGAGTCCCAATTAGGACTGCCGCTTAAACTAACCTACTGTTCCTTTAGCAATTCAACGCTTTTCAAATTGTCTAACACTATCAACCGCTGTCGTTCTCAGAGAAAAACCATTGCACTCTTCTAATTCAGGCACGCATCACATCCAACAACAAGGAGCCGCAGCATCTTCGCGAAGCTCACCTGAACAACAAAAATTCCCTCGACTCCCTAACCCTCATCGCTGTCGAACCACCGGGTAGAGACGAATAAGCAGCTTCTAGAACCTCAAACCGTCTGCACCGTGTGCCTAGCTAAAATATGGCCGAATTTGATATTATTGAAATAAAATTCTTGCTTTGATTAGCGCACCACTCGTGAGTAGGCAAGTGGCTGGCTACTTTGCACCTTGTTGAAGCAATCGACACCTGCGATACTGGCAATCTCACCTCCAGAAAGCGCAGCAAACATCAGGTGGGAAACTCCAATTATCCCGTGTCCTTTACTTTTCTATTGTGATAACCTCTACAGATAAGTAGACTTAAGTTCTCCAAATCAACGAAATTCACGGTAAGATCGAGGAGGTGGCCATTTGTATGGATAAGCAAGAAAAATAAGAAAATAAGAGAGCAAGTTGCTTGGCAACTCAATCCTGTTAAGTTGCGCTCAATTCAAATGGTCTGTTGAGATGGCAAGCGAGATAACAGTGGAGACCTAGCGCTCATTACTCACCACATCCACATGCCACACAAGGTATTTCAGTTTCAGCAGCTCGCCTGATTCCATCAGGACGCTTGCCGGAAACCCGCCCCCATTTAGCGGCGTAGACCGCTGTCCGCTTTCGGGACCTTAACTTTGTTATTGAACAACTGGTTAGCGCGATACTACTTCATTCGACGTAGCACCCGAATAAGCACTCGTTAGAAGCATAACGTTCTTGTGGGCACGCTAGACTTTCACTGGACCCGACGCGGTACAGACAGATTATCAACGATATTCACCCCCGTCAATGAAGTCGCCGGAGTTCAAAACCCACCCTATTGCGGAGCGCTAACTGCCTTGAGAAACCTGGCCTGTGTACTGTAGCAGGTTAGTTATTGAAATGGTATTGAAATTATAATTTTATTTATTTAAATACATACACGTTTACATAATTTACTTACCTCAGGATAACGCATTAAAAGTCCGTTTAAGCACTATTTTAAACATTTTTTTTTTTTAATTGATGGCAACATCATTCTCTATTTTTCCATGCGAACTCATTCCGCATTTTGTCCAATATGCTTTGATAGTTTTTGTTTAAAGTACATACGTATGGATGTATGCATATATGTATGTATGTATATGGCAACAACATCAATAATTCGCCCCGCAATTTCCCTTACACCTCTCTCAAATGCATTTCCTGCCAAAATGACTACAAGTACAATGTCGCTTGTTGACGATGATCAAAATGATGTATATATAATTTTTTCTTTGACTTCTCTTTGGATGGCCGCAGATCCCAGACTAAATTCGATAGACTACGCGGGCGCGACAGACGGCGAGTCTTCTTTTCGGGCAACTTATTCGAATCGCCGGAGGTGCGTCCACCACTGCGTGACGAGTCGAGTGTGCCTTCGCGCGGATTGTGATGTACAACGCCCACTCCCACTCCCATTCCCATACCCATACCTAAGCCCGCCACAGCTGCCAAGCCACCAGCAGTGCTGGCGCTCTTGCTTAGCGGCGGGGGTGGTGGTGGTGGTAAGTGAGATGAATGATGCGTCTGATGGTTGAGTATGCTGCTACATTTGAGTACCACATCGGGTGGCACTGCGGCTGACTGGTTACCTTTGGAATTGCTTGAGATCGGAGTTGCGGCAATTGAGGTATTTTCGGGCGTCAATTGCAAACTACTGAGGCTCTTGTACCTGAAAGAGGGGTTGAGAGAGTTTTGATAAGCGTGTGTGATAGATACAACAGTAACTATTCATGTTAATAGTAACATTAATATACACATTATACTCATATTCGTACTCATATTCATATTCATATTTATATCCATAGCTATATTTATATTTATATTCATATTCATATTCATACCCATATTCATTTTCATATTCATATTCATATTCATATTCATATTCATATTCATATTAATATTCATACTCATATTCATATTCATATTCATATTCATATTCATATTCATATTCATATTCATATTCATAGTCATATTTATATTCATATTCATATTCCTGTTCATATTCATATTCATATTAATACTCATATTTATATTTATATTCATACTCATATTCATGTTCATATTTATATTTATATTCAAAGTCCTGTTCATACGTTTTCATATTCAGAGTCGTACTCATAAGCATAGTCATATTTATTTTCAAATTCATCTTCATATTCATGTTCATATTCATACTCATATTCATACTCAGACTCAAACTCATACTCATACTCATACACTTGCTCATATTCATATTCAACATAGTTTTTTTTGTATTCGCCCTCATCTTCATATTCGTCCAAATTCTTATTCCAATTTACTATTCATACCCGTAGTCGGGTCAAGTCGGATTAAATTTTTCTCTCCCTACTATAAAAGTGTTTCCCGCTCCGATGCTTACCTTATATGAAAGAGTGGCGACTGTGGTTCCAGGTTGCATTCCTTATTCGTTACCAGAATACCGGCGCTAAGTGGCCCGTTCGCAGAGTGTACAACATTATTGTTGCTGTTGCTGTTGCTAGGAGTCAGCACCCTGCCATGGTGATGATGAGCATGATGCGCCGCAACTGCTGCAGCTGTAGCATTCACCACAGCGGCCGTCGAATTGCCGGCATGTGGGTGTTGCGGCTGCGTTGAGTGATGGTGATGCTGATGATGGCTACTCGATGTAGACGCTCCTGTTGCCGCTGCCGCCGCCACAGCTGCTGCTGTCGCACCAGTGGCCGTATTGCTGCCCGCACTGTGTGTATTCTTCAGATAAAGCTTTGGTAGTGTGGGACGTTGCCGCTTCTCTGGCAACTTCTTTCCTGGTATGGTCTCGATAGGCGGTGGCACTGGTTTGATGTCCTCCTGCACATGGCTGTGATGGTAGTGATTTACTATCGCTCCACAGCCTGACTGGTGCGCATGTGGGTGCGCGTGTGGATGTGGATGCGTGTGACTGTGGTGATTATTGTGGCTGTGGCTTTGATGATGGTGGTGATGGTGATGATTGCTACCACCACCACTACCACCCCCGCTGCCACCTGTGTTATGGTTGTTGTTGTTATTGTGGCTCTGATTGCTGCTATTGTGACTGCTATTCGTATTTGTGTTCGCCTGCTTCACCGACTCTAAACTGCTGTAGTTGTTGTTGTTGGTATTGTTGTTGGTATTGTTGTTGCCGCTACCAACACCACCACTATGGTTAGTGTTACTGCCACCACTGGCATTTAAGCTGTTGGTGTTATTGTTGTTATTGTTAGCATTATTGCTGCTAGCCTGCGCACCCACGCGTATGAGACTGCAGTAGTTGCCACTACTGTCCGTGTGATGTGACTTGATTGTTGGTGTTTCGCAGATGGGCTCAAACCGTGTCAAACCTTTAGAGAGGGGCGTCAAACCACGCACATAATCATAAATGTGATCGATTTCGTTGTACTCCTCAGCGATTTCGGCGCTGGTGAGTACGCCCGCTGCACCGCCGACGCCCTTGCCATAGGCATCACAACTGGCGCTCTTGCGCAGCACATATCCATTTTCCATGAGGCCGCCAGCGACGGCCGCAGATGGCAGCATAACCACGGGCAACTTGTTGCGACTACTAAACTTGGAGTCTTTCTTCTCCTTCTCCGACAGTTTGAGATCTACTACTTGCAGGCGATCGCGCGCATCCGACAGCAAACGCTGCGCCTTGTCCAGGAAGCGCGTATACTCGATGAAGTGTTCCAGCTGATCCATGTTGCGTGCACGTTGCAATTTAATTTTAACATTGAGCGGCACTGGCACCAAATCGTTGTCCTTCTGCAGCGGTAGCGCAAATATGCGATCGATTTCCACACAGCCGAGTAGACGCAGCTCCGGAACGAAAGGCTGCTTGAGACCTTTAGGGGCACTGCCATGAACGAGTCTAGAAGAGAGCATAAAGAAGAAACGGTAAGATTATGACTAGAAGAGAACAGACATATGATACAAGGCAGCAAAATGGATGGCGCGAGCCTATACATAGCAGAACTTCAAGTTAGTTATTTACAACGCTGAAGCTTTTAGAGAGCTAGAGCCAGAGCTTGAATGAATTCCTATCACCTTTAGATCACAGAAAAAAGTTGCTGGCAAGGGGAAGTTTATGACTGTTTTTTTTTTAGCAATAAATTTTCTTCTTAAAACAGTAAAGACTAAAAATTAAAGAAAATTATATTAAAAAAAAAAGAAAAAAATAATAATATAGGTTTATAAAAATTAAGTGATATTAAAAAATGTGTTTTTTTTTGTTTTAAACGATAAATTTTAGCAACTAAAAGAAAATTAGATTCAAAAAGAAAAAACTAAGTAAAAAGAGAAAACAAATAAGTTCCTGAAAAGTAAATGAAATTAAAACATAAATTTTTTAAAATATTATAATCCAAAAATTAAAAGAAATTAAATTAAAAAAAAATTATAAAATTTATAAAAGAAGAACTAACTTAAGTTTCCATAAATTAAACAAAAAAATTATTTTTCTAAAAAGATAAGTAAGATTTTGTTAAAAAAGAAACAAATATAATTAAAAACCTGAACAAAAATGGAACTTTATAAAAACTTAAAAAAATACAAACAATAAAAACTAAATTGAAAAAGAAAGTAAAATAAAACAAGTTTCTAAAAATTAAGACAAATAAAGAAAATATTTGTATTTCCTTGAACAACAAAATCTAAAAATTAAATGAAAGGCTAATTGAAAAAGAAAAAAATCCACTGTCCGAGGACTCGAACCTCGAGTTTTTTTTTTGTCAAAAAGCTTTTCACCATGAAAGTTGGCGTGAGCGCTTTTTTGTAGGACTTTCGTGCCGGAATAAACAAAATCTTTCTATCTTGCCTACTGCCTTTCAATTGCCTTAGAAAAGTCTTTCAACTATCTTAACCAGAATTGCACTGTTAGAAAGTAAAACAATGAAAGAAAAAAATTCGTGTTGATCCACAAAAATTCTGAAATGGATTTCTGCGGCGTCATTACGACCCATGATAATCTATGGAGCGATTATCTGAGTTGCTAGAGCTAAAAAACGGAGGCGGACTTGGTTTGCATACTTCAATTATATTTTTTATGACCTATTAACGTAGTAAGGCTAGATTGAGAAAGGGGGGCATAAAACTCCTCAAATAGACCGAATAAACGCCTAGTGTTACCAGATATATTAAAGATGTTTGTCATTCTACCACCATTTATCTGAAAAAACAAACACGAAGAAGAACGTTGACGAATGTGTGCTTTTTGTCGATCGCCAACTGTGCACCCTAGAGGCGACGGACACCCAGTATCGCAGGTTTTCGCCGGCCGATAGCTGGGCACTCGCAGATTATGTCCTCTGCAATTTCTACCAGCAAAATACATTTCTGCACTTTTTGTTGTCAACTAAAATTAAGCCTCCTTTTTTGAGAGATTATGAAAAGCTGGCAGGTTTTTTTTTTTTACTTGAGGGTATAAGTGAGATATATTTGAGGATCTTCTTTCAAGAAAAGCCAATATGGCTTACAATAGGCGAACTAATTTTTGGAAATAGCTCTGCCGCCAAAGCTATTGCTCGAAATACGTTATAGTGAGTCGAAATCTTAAACAATATACTTTCATTTAGTCTTGAACAGTAAAATATAGCTTCTATTTCCATTTCAGAATCGTCTTTCGTATATGTGAACCGTGATTTCTATTTTGCCACAAACTTACGCCAACGGTCAATTTGTTTGGATGCAGCAGACTTTTCGAAGCTTATGCACGGTGTCAAGTAGATTATTAAGTAAGGACCTGAGGCATTTTGTGCTGAATTTCATCGGTACTGCAACTTGGAAAAGACCTCAAAACAGCAAAATCGTCAACCTTCTTTTAGAATCAAAGAGCTGCGCAGAACTAGATATTGCAGATAGGAAAGATGACGACCTATATGGTAGCCAATCTTAACCTAAACGGTACCGCACAAGTGCGATTCCCATCCAGAAGAGAATCCATGTCTATACCGGGAGATTCAAAATGAACTGCGTTAAAGGAGCGGGAACTCGGCATCGATCTGTGTCCACGTCTCGGAAAATATACAGTCATCTTCCAATCGGAAGTTCTAGTTATCTTTAAGCCTGTAAAATCTTAGGTTATAAGTCGGGAACAAAAATATGACAGCGGCAATATTATTAGCAACAGCATATACGGTTATAAAATATCAACCGGTCAAGAAATGCAAAAGGAAGTTACGCTCAATGACTCAGTCAACGACAGTCTCTCTTACTTGGTTTTCCGGACATGGAGCTTAGAAGGCACAGAGAGAGCTGATGAATTGGAAACGCTAGATAAACTTGTGATAATATTAAGACGCTCCTATTATACAACCTGCTGTAGTTGTCAGTTAGCAGAATGCCCAGGCCTTTCGAATATTAGATATAGTCACATACTAATGCTCCTACTACCAACAACTCCTATAGTTGCTCTATTTACTTTCTCTCATCTTTTCCCTTGTTTGTATTACTTTTCTAGTTTAAGCTCTTTCTTTACAATAATAACAAACACTCTTCTTGTTTTTATTAAATCACATCGTTTTGTAGTTTAAGCTCTTTCATTACAACAACAACAACCACTCTCGTTATTATTTACTTACTTCGTATTCTAGTTTTAAGTGTTCATAGTTACAATAACAACAAATACACTCATTGTTATTATTCACTCATTTGGTATTATAGTTTTAAGCTCAGTTAACCTGAATCTAAAAACGGATGTTTCATTCAATAAAGTTACCTGCGTAAAGTAAGGATTGTCTTTTATTATTGGCGCAGTCAACGGCGAACTACATACGCGAAAATTTTAAATTAAAATTGCACGAAAAGTGTAAGAAAAATGTTTTAAAAATAAGGAAAAACTACCATTTACGAAAATTTTAAAGGAAAAAAACCCACAATTAAAAACTAATTGTAGAAAAGTTTATGTGTGGAAATTTAGTAACTATTTGTGAAAACAAGAACGAAAAGTTTAAAAGTTCAACAAACAAATACCAAAAAAAAAAAAAATAAAAAAGTAATAAAAACAGATTCGCAATTACAAAAATAATAGTTGAAAACTTAATTTATGTGCAGAATAGTCACTATTGTGAAAAAATAATAAAAGGTTATCGTCAAAGGTCACCTTCAAAGCATTTTAAAGACATTTTGCGGACATAATATTCTTCTTCTTTATCCAAGTCGACCTTGAAGTCACCTTGAACATTGATTTAAGGTCACCTTGAAAAACTAAAAAATCACTCCACGCCGCCTACAGTAAAAATTCCAGGCGAGTGCATTAAATATAACAACAACAGAACTAATAAAACCACATGAACTGAAGAATATTAAACACTAACGACTTATACAAAAGAAAGAGACAACTATACCAACAACAGAAGTAAAAGTGATTTGCTTCGAAGCAGCTACGTAAGGACCAGCAACAACATTGAAATTTATTAATATTAACAAGAGTGTACATATGTACAGGAAAGCAGCAATTACAACAAAAGCAGCAATTACAACAACCAACCGGCACCAACATAGTTTTGCACACAAACCTAGCTATTTACATATTTGCGTACTTGAGCAACAACAGTAAGTTATAATATACATAAATAGCTGAGCACACGTAAATATATGTGTATACATACCTAAGAGGAAAAAATAAAGAAACCAACTAATATACAAAAATAACAACAAATACAGTATGGAGAACTTAGATGTTAACGCTAAATTTAAGCTTAATCTTAATAGTATACCAAATTATGATGGGAATGGAGATGCTTTGTTAAGTTTTTTACAACGAATAGATTCAATGATACCTATATTAGAATCTTTTCCATTAGATTTTAAAATTTTGCTTATGGGCAATATTAAGGACAAAATTGTTGGAGTTCAAGAAGATCATTATTAATTAACGGCAATGCAGATACATGGCCCGAAATAAAAAAAATTTTAATCGACAATCATGGGAAAAAAAATTCAGTTGACGAATTAATTGATAAAATAAGGTCTTGCCGTTGTGATTCGAATATAGAAAATTTTTATAATAAGTTAAACAGTTTTTTATGTCGTTTAAATAACGCTTTATATTTCAGTGAAAAAAAATCCCCAGAAATTAATTGTGATAGTAACGGTAGAATTGCTCTCAATTCTTTCAAGTACGGTTTACCGGAGCCTGTAAGAAGTATTATTGTTAGCAGAGATCCGAAAAGTTTAAAAGAAGCGTACGATATAATAAAGTCAAATGGGTATTTAAAATACAACAATAAAGAATATTCTCCTTTTTCTACACACAAAATATTTAGACATACAAATTCTCAACCAAATAACAGCAACAATAGCAATAGACAATTTTACAACAATAATTCTGAGAGACAATTTTACAGTAATAATAACACTGTGTGACAAATGGTAGGGGTCAGTGATCGGGAAGGGTTCAAACTACCGGGGAAAGTTATATCAGTAAAAAAGAAGTTATACGTGTCCCGGCGTTTCGCTGGGTCACGTCTAGGAATCGAGATATATATATAACTATCATATAGGGGAAATTGTCACCTTTGGTGGTCTTTTTTTGACATAACTCGAGAACCACTAGTCCGATTTTGCTCAAACAAATTTAAAAAAATTAAAAATTACAATTCCTTTAATCTGTTCGTATAACGTTTTTCTATATAATAAACAGTTTTAAAAAAATTTAATATTTTAGGCAAAAAATATTTTTTTTCTTCATACATTTATTTTTACCGGCAAAACTGTATATACGTTTCATAAATATTTCGATGGTATAATAGGAAATAATATATTATTAAATTTAAATACTATAATTGATTATAGAAGCAGAAGATTAAAAACAGACGAGGCAGCAATACCTACATATTTTAATAAAGAGAAAGAGCTATTAGAAGATGCATATTTAAGAAACGAACGCTTAGAAGTACTTACCTGTGAAGAAGAAATAGGAAAAGAGTCTACTTATATTTATGCTAAACATTTAAATTCAAAAGACCATGAAATATTAAGAACGCTTTTAAACAACTATCAAGATATTTTTTACAAAGAGGGAGAAAACTTACCTTTTACATCCGAAATCCAACATAGAATTATAACAAAAACTGATACCCCAATTTACAGTAGACTTTATAGATATCCGGTGGTATATCGCGCAGAGGTAGACCGGCAAATACAGGACATGCTTGCGCAAAAAATAATTGTACCAAGTAATAGCCCATATAATTCGCCTTTATGGGTTGTACCCAAAAAGGCTGATAAAGATGGAATTCCACAGTGGCGAGTTGTCATTGATTATCGCAAACTGAATGACCAAACAGTCGATGACAAGTTTCCAATTCCGAATATGCAAGACATATTCGACAAATTGGGAAAATGTTGTTACTTCAGTACAATTGATCTAGCAAAGGGATTTCACCAGATTGAAGTGCACCCTAATGATAGAGCAAAAACGGCTTTCTCAACAGCAGATGGCCATTATGAGTTCACAAGAATGCCATTTGGACTTAAAACAGCACCTGTCACCTTTCAGAGGTTAATTAACTACGTTTTAAGAGAATATATAAACAAAATTTGCGTTGTCTACTTAGATGATATCTTAATTTTTTCTACTAGTTTTGATGAACATATTGCCTCTATTATAAAGATATTTAATACACTACGAGCGTCTAATTTAAAAATACAATTTAATAGATGTCAATTTGCTGAGTTTACTACAAAATTTCTGGGACACATTGTATCAGAAGAAGGCATTAAACCAGATCCTTCAAAAATAGTGGCGATCAATAAAATGAAGCCCCCAACTAATGTAAAAGAAATAAAACAATTCCTTGGTACGACAGGGTATTAAAGAAAATTTATACGGGTCTACGCAAAAGTAGCTTATCCCATGGTGCGCTTTTTGAAAAAGAACGCAATATTAGATTTTGAAAATATAGAATTTAGCTTTCAACACTTTGAAAAAACTAATTACCAATGAGCCCGTCTTGCAGCCACCAGACTTCAATAACAAGTTTGTGCTTACAACTGATGCATCTCAGTTTGCTATTGGCGCTGTATTAAGCCAAAATAATCACCCTATATGCTATGCATCTCGTACGTTATGTGATCATGAGATTAGGTACTCTACTATAGAGAAAGAAGCTCTGGCTATGGTTTGGGCTGTAAAACATTTTAGAACGTATTTATATGGGCGAACGTTTATAATACAAACTGACCATAAACCACTAACTTGGCTACATAATCTTAAGAAGACCAATATGAAACTACAAAGATGGAAAATTCTTCTTAATGAATATGATTTTCAAATAACATATATAAAAGGAAAAGATAATAATGTAGCAGATACATTAAGCAGATATTTTGAACAATATAATAAAAACCATGAAACTGCTAATATGTACAATAATATTGAGGATAATGAACCTAATGACGAAAAATGTGACAAAATGGATACATTATCCATAGATACTGCCCACAGCGCACTTGAAGATAATTCAAAATATATATTTATCACAGAAAAATGTATTAATTACTACAAGAACCAAATATACCTTAGCTATGGTCAAAAAGAAAATTTTTTCCTTAAAATCGTAAACAAAAAATGTCAAACACATATAACAGTAACAGAAAATTCGAATTTAAAAGATATCATGCAAAGGATTTTGATAAATAAAGGTATTATGTGTATTTATTGTGAAAATAATGAGCTTTTTATAAAATTTCAATATTTATATGTAAATTTTTTTGAAAATAATAGTCTTATAATGTACAAATCAAACGTTATTTTAAATGAAATCACAGACAAAAATGAGATACTGACAATAATAGAGAAAGAACATTTGCGTAATAATCATAGAGGCATACAAGAAGTTTTCTTTGAGTTAAAAAACAAATTTTTTTACCCTAAATTATACAAATTAATAACATACGTAGTAAGCAATTGCTCAGTTTGTCAAATAGCTAAATTTGATAGAAATCCAATTAAAACTCCGTATCAAATCACTGAAACTCCGACACATTTTAATGACATAGTCCATATTGACATTTGGTTTCCATACAGAAATGTTATGTATTTGACAACAATTGATAAATTTTCCAAATATGCTACATTTCAAAAATTGAACGATAGGAACTGGGTGGCAATATTGGAAGCTATAAAACAACGCATACAATACTTGGGAAAAATGAATAAGATAATATTTGACAACGACCGATGTATTTTACACAGCGCAGTACGTTTATTTTTAAAAGAACAAAATATCGACACTCATACAACTACAGCATATTACAAAACAGGAAACTCAGACATCGAACGACTTCACGGGACATTAAACGAACATTTAAGACTGCTTGAAGCTGAAAAGGAAAATAAAAACTTAGAACTAGATGAAAAAATTTTTAAAATATTTACCTATTATAACAATACCATTCATTCTACAACAAAAAAGAGACCCATCGATTTTATTATAAAAAATTTTGATAAAGAGTACATTCACAAATTGTGTACAATATACGAAAAAGAGAAAATTGAAAGAATTGAGAAATTGAACCGAAAAAGGGATTGTAAACCGACTGAACAGGTAGAAAATATTGTGTGTAACAGAGAAATTGGCAAAAATAAGCCTAAATACAAAAAACTAGATGTATATAATAAGAACGGAAATTATGTTACTGATACCTCAAATAAACGGAATACTAAATATTATAAAGCTCAGTGTAAAAGACAGTACAAATACCCAAAAAAATAGTTTAAGTAGATATACATATAAGAAGATTATTACAAAACTAAAATGCACCATCATAGTATTAGTTGAAATTTGCGAGGTCGCAAATACCTTATGGGGGGAGGAGTCACATACTAATGCTCCTACTACCAACAACTCCTATAGTTGCTCTATTTACTTTCTCTCATCTTTTCCCTTGTTTGTATTACTTTTCTAGTTTAAGCTCTTTCTTTACAATAATAACAAACACTCTTCTTGTTTTTATTAAATCACATCGTTTTGTAGTTTAAGCTCTTTCATTACAACAACAACAACCACTCTCGTTATTATTTACTTACTTCGTATTCTAGTTTTAAGTGTTCATAGTTACAATAACAACAAATACACTCATTGTTATTATTCACTCATTTGGTATTATAGTTTTAAGCTCAGTTAACCTGAATCTAAAAACGGATGTTTCATTCAATAAAGTTACCTGCGTAAAGTAAGGATTGTCTTTTATTATTATATACATAAACACTAGGAAGACCCATACATTCATCGGAGGATCCAGATGGTTCGAGTAATCAGTCTAGACTTAACATAACATAAACAAAACTAATTTCCCACGAAAATTGCATCAAAATGGCGCCAAAATACGCGAATTGGGTTTTAGGTATTTACTACGATAGTAAATTTTAAAGGTCTCAGTGATAGATGAACCCAAAATCCTTCTCAAAAGGACATTTTCACCTACCTCACAATGACTGGCATCCTTTTGAGTAGTAGATTCTTCACCGTATGCACTCCGCTAATGCTATCCTCCTTGGCTATCGGTGAGAATTTCGCTTTGGTATCGAGTGGCAAATTGACAATCTCATCTTTGATATTCTTACACTGCAAATATTTGCCATTATCGTTCATCGTCGTCAGCAATTCGCCCGCGTGAATGGTGCGATTCATCTGAGTGCACCGAAAAGTTTCACGCACCAAAACGCGCAAATTGCGACGTTTCGACAGCTCCAGCACCGAATCGATGCAACGCGTCGAACGGCCATCTTCGCTGAGTAGCTCAAAGTAGCCGGGGTATGTTTCCGGTATGAGCACCTTGGCGCCGACATTTGTCGTCTTGCGACCCTCCTTAATTTTAATCGGTTGCGCGAGTATCTGATACTTTTTGCCAGCGCTCAGAAATAACGCCGTACTCTGCAGCGATGGTGCCGATAGTGTGGGCACACCAAGATTCTGATGTTGTCCCTTGATGATTTTCGCAACAGCTGGTAATTTTTGCTTGGAAAATTCACGCAGATATACGGGCGGTTCGGTGTCACCAAAACGGGAGGCGGCCAATATTATTTGGCCATCCGTTGCGGCCATGTCGCGATTGAAGAATGAGAGCAGTTTGTTGCGCGCAATGCTAACATTAATGTTGAGTAAATTTCATTGGGATTGTGGCACCGCTGTAGCTGTCGCAGTGGCTGTTGGAGCTACTGCTGCTGCTGCTGCTGCTGCTGTCTCCGCCGCTGTTGCCCCGCTACAAACGTACTCGACGCAAGTGTCTGGAAGTGGCGGAAGTGTCGTTATCGTTGTTGTTGCTCTCGTAGTTGTCGTTGATGGAGTTGGTTTGGTTGGATGAACTGTTTCGATATGTGCGCTTGGGGTTTCTGCTACTGCTATCGCTGGCGAATTGCTGGTACTGTGGTATGTGGTTGCTAATGTTTTGCTCGTTATGCTGTGGTGCGTTTGCCGATGGCTATTGGGGTTATGCGTAGGATAATTTATGTCCTTGTTGTTGTTGTCGGTATGTGCACTAGTAAAAGTGTGCAAATGCGGATGGATGTTGTTGTTGTTGTTGTAGGCGGTATTGGTGTTCGTGTTTGTGTTGGCGGTTGCGGACGTTGTGAGGAAACGTGAGGATGTTTGCAGTGCGTAGGTGAGATACTGCATTCGGGTTTATATCGCTAAGCTCCGTCGTTAATTGAATTGATATGATTGGGATAACCTGCGTAGCGGAACGAATTTTTCGTGTGTTGACTTTTGAGTTGATATCTGAAAAAGTGAAGTAAAATATTTTTATTAGTATGATTTAGAAAAGGGGAGCGAAAATTAAAATGTAAGATTACCCAAAAGAAACTTAACTTAAAGAAAATTATTTCTAAGTTACTCATTACTTATTTCCTTAGTTTGCTAAATTTGACGAAGTGCATTTTTTGTCTCTAAAAAAATCCGATTCCATGGCGTATAAAAAACAGCCCTTGAATAATTTTGCTCGAGCGACATAATCCAAAAATATGTTTGATGTGTAAAAAGCTTAGCTCTCGGTATAGGTGAAATTTGCATTGCCTAAGCAGAAAAATTGTAACTGGCTCTCATGTCTCTTTCAAGACCTTAACGGGACTTGTTCACAGCTAGTATAGGACCATTTCGAGATTTGTTACGGACTATTTCAGAAACATTTCGGGAGTAGCTCGGGATGATTTTGGGACTTGTAAGGTACCATTTCGGAACCGTTTCAAGACTGATTCGAGATCCTCTCGGGATAAATCCCCGACCTTTTCAAAACAATTTTGGGACTATTTCGGGCTCATTTCAGAGTAGTTCGAACTATGCACGAAATGATCCTGAACTATTCCAAAAGTGATAATTGAAAAGTCTAGTACTGGTCCCGAGGAGATGAATACAATTTAATGAAATTAATGTTTAACTTAATTTCGGACCGCTTCGGCACCTGTTCCGCACTATTTCAAGTCCACTGAGGGATTGTTTCAAGGCTATTTTAGCACCATTTCGGGACTAGTGCAGGACTATTTCAAGAACATTTCGGGTTAGAGATCATTTTGGGATTTTTAGGTATAAGTTTAGGATTTGTAAGAAAACATTACGGTGCTCTTTCAAACTGGTTCGTGATTTTTTCGGGGGCAAGTTCAAGACTTTTTCAGTTCCACTTCAGGACTAGGTACTTAAAAAAATTTTGAGACAAGTTCGGGATCATTTCGGGGTGCTTACATCCCAGTCACGAAATGATTCTGAACTACTCCCGAAGTGGTTATGAAAAAGTCGTGTAATGGGCCCGACAAAATGAAAAAAATAATTTTT